ATATCTCAATTGAATTCTCATCACACGAGTGATCGATCTTAACGTCAATGGATTTTAAACTACTTTTATAGTTATCAACAAAAGTATTAATTATTGTCGTTTCTTCAAACCCATAACAAAATCGCAAACTAGAAATCTTTGTAAAGTAACCATCATTTTGAGCACTAATAATATACAAGAATAAATGATCGAGATATAGATATTCTGTGCTTAATTGAAGCAAATTCTCGCAATTCTTCATATTCTTTACGATTGATGTCTGTTTTAACTGATCATCACTTGTGTAACAATTGATTGATTTTAATTGTTTGGCAAACTTTGCAAAAAAATTGCCAATCATTTTAACAGTAATTATTCCCCAACTGATGGAAAATGATTGCAATTTATAGCAATGTTTTATAATTAACTCCAGATATGGATCCGTTATATACTGACCATATAATCCGCTTAAGTCTTGAAAATGTGTTATATTTTCGCATTTCTTTAATATTAACTCAAATGTCGACAAATCAGACCAATTGTTGTCTTCTCTGTAATGAATATCTGTTAGTGTATTGAATACAAGTCTTCGCCACTGTTTTGATAGACATTCACAACGGAATCGGTCTTCAAATGTGAGGAAAGACAACAACTCTTCGCACAAATCGTCACCAAATCTATCGAAACTGTCTTTACTATAGTTTTGTGACATTCTATGAAACCCTCAACTATTTTAAATAAATTTAGTGAAAATTTACTAAAATAACTCAAATACTAATAAATTCATACAAAATGGAAATATTTATAAAAAGAATATTTCACTACAACTTGCAATATATTAAAAATATGTGTAAATAGTTTACATAATTGTTTGTAACTATTGTTGCAATCAATTCATGCGCTGAAAAAATGTTAAACAAGTATTGTTTGCTATTATATAATAACAGCAGAATAAACATAATTCATTGAGAATTATACATGAACTACATTTATAAACGACATTGATCAACACACTTTTAGCTAGAGTTATAATCCGCGAAAATAACCTATATATAAAATTGCAGCTAGCTTGTTTTACAACTTTTTTATAATTAACTTATAAGTTTACTGTATGTATACTTGATATTTATTGTAATATTGGATAAATAATTTATTCATACACTTTTAGTAAACTCTTTTAATTGTAATTTTAATAAATTTATTAAATTGTGAATCAATTTTATAAAACTTTTTTATCAATTGATAAAACAATTGAAGCGATCGATGAATACATGAATGAATGCAATGATTGGTTACCGAAGACAACGATTGCCTTAACTATCAATACATGTGCTGATTGTATGCAATGTTTGTCACAAATATTTAACTAAATTAACATTAATTTTATACTCAATTAGAGATTCATTTCATAATTCAATGCATTCATCAAAACATCATTTTTAAACAAATATTTCAGTTATTGTTAAATCGTAACACACATTGTGTGCGGTCTTACAGTTTAACAACATATCAATCCCTTTAAAACCCTCTAATAGTAATGCAATGGCAAACCCCTCACACACTAACCCCACCCCCTCCACCCCCTAAAGCATAACAGTTTTATTGACCGAACAATCGATTTTATTAACGGAAAGTGTTTTGCATTGAAAACACGTTTNTGCATTAAAAGTCTGATTAAATGATAAAAGTGGAGTGATAAGGCATACACTCACCCCCCATATACTGTACTTTCCATACTATTATTCACATTTACTTTATATATATATTACTTATTGTAACTTTCCATTGAAAGCCTTATATGTTATACTCAATACTTTCCATCGCAAGACATCGTATGTTATACTCAATGCTTGTAAGTCTTTCCATGAAAGACATCTCATATCTATAGTACTTTCAGGACTATATAAGAGCTGTGCATATCATGTATGTTAACCAGTCTTTCCCTAGAGTTATAACTGTTAACAACAATAAAGTGTTTTAAACCCAGTCTTCGGTCGGCTTATTATCGGAGGTTAGGCTTAGCCCAAGTCTGCCCCCACTTCGGGCGTACCTAACACTCCAAGTGGTGGAGGGCACGGGTTTCTGGTCTACGACTGGAAGTCTCCGTTTACTAACTTTCCCATCAAAGCGGTGGAGGACTACTAGACGGTCTGCGAACAGCCAAAAGTCTCACTTTCAACAACACATCGCATCCGATCCGACTGGTGGACGGCTGCATATTTGGACTCTTCGTCGGCGATAGCATCGTTGACATTATTTTGGACAACAACAGGACAACTTTGGACTCTACGGCCGCGATAGCATCGTTGGCTTTATTGAAAGACAACCGGACTTCTTGAGAGACATCGCGTTTACCGGGTAACCCGTCGTCGGCCCAGATTCCGATACGCACGGCATCCTTACACTCGCGATTGTGGAATTGAGCGGTTTGTCGAGCGACAAGAGGTCGCTATACTTTCGGACGATATCCAGACCTATTGGGAGGTAACGCTTTTACCAAGGTATTAGGCCAGAGTCGCTGCGAATCAACGTCAAGAAGACGGCAGTCGATGAATGGCTACCTATAATCGCGAGGACACCCATTGGAACGGTTTCGGACGAAAGGCTTACAACAACAGGAAGAGTCAATAATAACAACGATAAGAAGAGTAATAATAGAAGAGTAATAACCAGAAGAATATAATAACATCAAAAAAAAGTATATATAACATCAAAAAATAACATCAATAATAACCACCAACTTATTCAACACCAACACCGACCACACACTGCCAACCGTGTGCTTACCACCGAAGACTTGGACGGACTCAACACTTGATAACAACATCCGGAAAGCCTTTCAATACAACTCTAACAACAATTGAAAGACTTTCAAACCGATAATAAGACTTATACAACTTTCCGAAAGACTAATTGAAACTATAATTTATAATACCTTTTGTTTGAAAGATATTTTTGTAACATTTTTTAAGACTAATATTTGTATTAATTATTAACCTTTTTTGGACGACTTCTACGGAAATGACAACTAATAGACGCAACGAAGAGATGACCACTTCTACTATGGTTGAGACCTCAGACATCACGGCTCTCGTGAAGTCTTTCACTGACTGTCTCTCAGCGATGAATACACTCTTCGAAAGGATCAGTACTTCCAAGAAGTCAACGATTTGTAACAACTGCTCAAAAAGTGGACACATTTGCGCGGACTGTCCTTCCCGTGAAAGTATGAACACATCTAAAGACTATGACATCAATGGTCTGAATGGAAGACATCGTGCAAAACAACTCGTAAACGAAGATCACATTTGTCCTAATTATGGCCAAACTTTACCAGTCCTCAAAGGGCCCACTGAACGACCGGTAAATGAAGACCATATATGCGTCAACTGTGGAGACGTAGGCAAACATTATGAAAGAGACTGTCCTAACGATAGAGATAAAGAGAAAGTACGTCTGGCCTTCGATGACTTAAAACGTAATAATCCTAATGTCCGCCGAAGACGTACACGTAATCCCGTCACCGCCTCTCTGGCCAACCACAGCCCCTGTGGTCAGGGATGACCACAATTTAACCGGGGGGAATTGGAGTGATAAGGCATACACTCACCCCCCATATACTGTACTTTCCATACTATTATTCACATTTACTTTATATATATATTACTTATTGTAACTTTCCATTGAAAGCCTTATATGTTATACTCAATACTTTCCATCGCAAGACATCGTATGTTATACTCAATGCTTGTAAGTCTTTCCATGAAAGACATCTCATATCTATAGTACTTTCAGGACTATATAAGAGCTGTGCATATCATGTATGTTAACCAGTCTTTCCCTAGAGTTATAACTGTTAACAACAATAAAGTGTTTTAAACCCAGTCTTCGGTCGGCTTATTATCGGAGGTTAGGCTTAGCCCAAGTCTGCCCCCACTTCGGGCGTACCTAACACTCCAA